TATAGGACTGTTTTATCAAATAGAATATAGAGATAAAGTCATTGCTCTATACATACCATCTTTGGAGCAGGAGTTAGACCTTTAGCTTGGACGTGAAGGCAGATTGTGGCGAAGTGTTTCTCGATCGAAGATTATATAGCAGGTATTCCAGGCATCTCCCTTGGCCGTAAGACGTGGGGAATCCGCAGGCACTTTGTGACGTCATCAAGGCCCGAAGAGTTCCCAGATACCCAGCATGACTAACGTCTGAGAAGGAGAGCATTGCCTTCCAGCAGAGATTCCCACGTTTTGTTATTTCAACATATATGCACATACATAAACATTTGCGCAAAGGCGTTTACACACAGACGCACACACACACACACACACACACACACACATATATATATGTGTGTGTGTGTGTGTGTGTGTGTGTGTGTGTGTGTATGTGTGTGTTTGTATATGTATGTATGTATGTACACACACACACACACACACTCATGCATATGTATATGTAGTGTGCGTGCGTATGTATATATATATACATGTACATATACATACACATATGCACACACCCACACACACACATGCATTGTGTGTATATAGATACTACATATGTACATATACATATATGTATGTATATATATATACACACACATATTTAGATACACACATATACGTGAGTGTATGAACACACACACACACATACATACACACTCACACACACACACATACACACACGCACGCAAGCACGTACACACACACACACATACGCACACACAGATTTGCACACACACACACACACACACACAAACACACACACACACATATACATATATATATATATATATATATATATATATATATATATATATATATATACACACAAATATATGTATATGTATACACACACACACACACACACACACACACACACACACACACACACACATATATATATATATATATATATATATATATATATATATATGTATTTTTTTTTTCCAGCAGCCATTCATTCCACTGCAGGACATAGGCCTCTTTCAATTCAGATTTGAGGGGTTATATGGCAGTGTCACCCTTGCCTGATTGAATGGCCTTCCTAATCAACCGCGGTTCGGCGCGCTAACACTTGTGCCACGGCGGTGACCTCCCCTACGACAACTGCGTTTGACTTCTCAAGCCGATATGTCGTTTTCTGGGGCTCGAGTTAGCAGTCAGAGCGCAGGCATTTTTACGACTGACGCGACGGAGAATTGAATCCGGGACCACGAGGGTCGGAGTCCAGTGCTCTAACCACTGAGCTATCGCGGCAGTATACATATATATATATATATATATATATATATATATATATATATATATATATATATATACATGTATGTCTATATATATGTGTGCATATATATATATGTATATGTATATATATATATATACATGTATGTATGTATTTACATATATATATAATATATATGTATATATATACATGCACACATACACACACACACACACACACACACATATATATATATATATATAAACACACACGTGTGTGTATACGTAACCCATTCGTTAAATAACCTAAAAAAATAAATAAATAAAATCAATTCCATTCCCTTTATTATCATTTCCATCATTCTCGGACATCAAAATCAAACGAGGGAACGTCTTATCTCTCTTGCCATAAGTAAGTCGTTTGAACATACTGAATAAACTGGTCATGAAATCACTCTCTTGAAAACAGTGCAAAACGAACTGAAATCAACTATTACCGTATATCCCGAGCAGTTATAATTTTTTCGTGTAAGTATTTTTGTTTGATTTTTTTCGGGTGGGGGGGTGAGGATGGCCTATAGCTAGGCGCATTCAAATTAATTATAGTTAAAGGTGTGTCTGTGTCGTTTTTCTTTTAGCAAAATAAAGATGAGGCTTGCTTAACTTTTAAAAGAAGTGTTCACAAAAATATACTTTGGATTTCCATATCCCTTTCCAAACGCATTTCACAACTAATTTGGACATGAGTATCATCCTTGTATATAAGTCACAGCATATAATCAGTACAGACAGATTCTACAAAGCTAATCCTCAGTCATTAAGTATGTAGGTAGTTTACTGTTCAGTAGAAGTAAGATGTACAGACAGAAGAAAAGATTCCTTCTTCGAATCCCGTGGCAAAGGGTCTGCTTGCAAGACACAAGCTCTTTTATCACTTTGCTTTATGGAAACACTTGCTTGTTTTCTTGTGTATGTGTGTGTAGAGTTAACCATAGATAAATTGTCGATGTTTTTAAGGTTGCAAACAGGTGGGACTCTGTGCAAAGCAGGTATTAAAAATCAGAAATAAAGGTTTTTCTTTATTGTTATAGTTGTCTGACTGGCCGTTTAGCTCGTAGTTTGTCTCAATAGGACCTGCAGCGTTGCAGCTCCGGTGACTAGAGTGTGTTGTCTCAGTAGAAGGCGCTGATGGGCTTGCAGGTGCGGTACTCGAGGCAGGTGTCGTAGCAGCACTTGTCGGCGCCGG